AGCTGAAGTTCTGTAGAAAAAGTACAAAGCTTTTAGGATTTGGGGCCTGACCACTGCACAGGATGTGGGAAACAGCCTTATAGCACCTAGAAAAGATGCGAAGGTTTTAGCCGATGGCAAACTCAAGCGGGGTCCCTGGGGCTTCTCAAAGTGCTCGTGCGGTCTGTAGCCGCATCAGTAAAGCTCACTGTCAAGATTGAGGCTGGTGATCATCTTGACCTCCCCTGTGAGGGTCAGTTTACGCCTGCCTGCTGATGTTCACTCTTTATTGGGGGTATGGAGAAACGGGGGTGTGTCTGGAGGAAACTGAACAGAATGGCGCAGGAGGAGAAAACCATGTTCTACTTGAAGCTACTTGTTAATTAATTTACTCATTCATTCAACAAATTGTTTTAGTTTTCTTATGTGTAAGGCGGGATCCTAAGGGACAGGGCATGATGACTACAACATGGTGTGGGTTCTAGCATGGTCTCCATAATGGTGTGGCATTGCCCAATTATGTGAAAGAGGTCTGGGAAGGTCTCCCTATAAAGGTGAGTTTTGAGTTGCGTCTTGATGGACAAATAGAAGTTTGACAGTGAAAAAGGGAGGAAAGGATTTTCTAGCCTGAAATACTACATGCCCCAAATCGCTAGGCATTCCGCTTCAGGCAGGTAATATGTACTTTTCACGATTTCGAGTGATTCCCCAGTACAGTGCCTGACCCATAACCCATTTTGTTGCTCTCTCAGATTAAATACAGTTGCATGGCCCTGGCCGGTTTGGCTCAGTGGTTGGAGCGTTGGCCCGCAGACCGGAGAGTCCCGGGTTCGGTTCCCACCGGGGGCGGGTACCTCGGTTGTGGTTTGTCCCCACCCCGGTTGGGATCGTGCGAGTGGCAGCCATTTTGTGTGTCTCTCTCGCATTGATGTTTCTCTCTCTCTTCCTCCCTCTCTTCTTCCCGCTCCATCTGAAGATGAATGCAAAAATGTCCTCTGATGAGGATAAAAAATAGATGAATAAATGCAATAGCACGCCTCCCTGGAGAGTGTACATGTTATTAAAAGAGGCTGAGATACAGGCTGTGTGTGTTTGGATGGTGGGGACACAGCAGGCAGGGCTGTGCTCCATGCTGAGGAGTTTGGAAGGGAGACCTTCTCTCTTCTCTGTAGATCCAGGGTTCCTAACTGGACCTACTTGGATTTTGTGCCCAAACCTGAAGGAGTTACTGAGGGTAGGGAGTTACTCAGATGGCCAGACATAGGGCATGTGTCAGCTCCAGGCCGGTCATTGTCTCTGGAGGAATTCAGTGCTCCGACTGGCAAGGCCTGGTCGCATGTCCACTCTGTAGCCTGTGTGGAATCCAAGCTGAACCACTTGGGAGGGAGTGCTGGTTCTCAGGTGGGGTGCTGTTCCCAGAAGCTGGAATGGATATTCTAGCTAGAGAGGAACTATCCACTACAGCCACAGGGGACAGAGCTGGGGTCAGTGAGTGGAGGCTATTGGTGGCTGCATCTGCTCTACGGGAAAGATCTTTCTGTGGTGCACAGGAATGAAGGAGGCCAGCTGTGGAGTAGTGAGTTGGCTGTCACTGGGGGTATCTAAGCAGCCACTGTGAATAGATGCCAACAGCCCAAGAGCACGTTGTAGATGAAACAGATAACCTCTAAGGCCATGTTCTCCAACTGTTTTCTCCGTGACGGTAATGAGTACGTTTTTACTTCGAAACCCGGGATACCCTCATACTTGCATACAACACTGCAAATGGAGGCTTGACATAGCACTTTGTATATTTTTTTTTACTCCTTGACAGGTTTATATTTTCTGTTCCATTTTATTCTAGTTAAAAATGCCTGTGTGTGCAGCCCACGCCATTGTTCTCATGTGCCACTGATGAGTGCCAGCCTGCAGGTTGTAGAACCCTGTTCTGCGGTCAGAGATCTGGAGGGGACTGGGCTTGAAGGTGGCATTCGAGTCTGGCTTTCCTCCGCAATGGTGGCAGGGGCCAAAGGCGTGGAAGCAAAAGAAAAAACAACAAAAGCAAAATGTGGAAGCAAACCTGTGTTGTTTGTGAAAGGTCCTGGTTCTGAGTGGCGGAGTGCCCTGCTGTCTGGCCTGTCCGGGCGGAGGGGCCTCCGTGCCAGCCGGCAGCAGTGTGGGAGGGAGCTTAGGGCTGGCCACGGGCTGGCGGCTCCCAGAGGCTGGGGTCCCAGCAGTCTGTCTGTCTGTCTGGCCAGGGGCTGGCAGCAGCTCCTTCTGTGCCAGCAGAAGTTCATGTTGTGAGGTCGAATGTATGTAGCTCTGCCAGGCCTTTAATATTGAAGGTGAGGGAGTGGTTTTTAAAAATAACATTTTTTTTACTTGAAACAAGTCAAGGCAGAGAGTGAGACAATTAGAGACTGACATCCTGTTTAGTCATCTCTCCAGAGAGCTCTATTTTCAGAACTGTTCTCTCAAGGTTCACATGTGGTACTAAGATAGTGAAGGAGGTATCATTGTCAGCAGTAGTTGTAAAGCAATAGCTGTTTTGAACACTGGGGTGATTTACAGGGTGGTAACCACATTGATGGTTTATGCAGAGAAAGGGAGGCTTTATAAGAATAGGCTGCTGTATAGATTAAGTTTTCTGCATCAGTACAAAATAGGCATCTTTTATTTTGAAAAGTACATGATCAGGCCCAGCTAGTGTGGCTCAGTGGATTGAGCTTTGTCCCATGGACTGAGAGGTCCCAGTTCGATTCCTGGTCAGGGCACATGCCCAAGTTGCGGGCTTGATCCCCAGTAGGAGGCATGCAGGAGGCAGCCAATCGATGTTTCTTTCTTACATTGATGTATCTATTTCTCTCTCCCTTCCTCTCTCTCTAAAACAATAAAACAGCCCTGGCCGGTTTGGCTCAGCGGTTAGAGCATCGGCCTGTGGTCCGGAGAGACCCGGGTTCGGTTCCCGCTATGGGCACGTACTTCGGTTGCAGTTTGTCCCCGGCCCTGGTTGGTCGTGCGGGTGGCAGCCACTCGATGTGTCCCTTTCACGTCGATGTTTCTCTCTCTCTCTCCCTCTCTCTCCCTTCCACTCTATCTGTACAAAAATTGGAAAAATGTCCTCGGGTGAGGAAATAAATAAATAAATAAATAAATAAATAAATAAATAAATAAAACAAACATATATTTTTTTAAAGTATATGATCAGGATGTCATGTTAAAAAGTATGTGGTGGTGAGCTAGGGTAAGGCCAGTGCATTTTTTCCCAGTCTTTGTCATCTATAGGAACAGTAAGTAGAACTGCTAATGCTCTTTGAGGTCCTCTGATAGCAGCCATGTCAGAAATGCTGAATGATGACATCGTGGGCTTTCTGATGGCCATGGTGAAGCTTGGCGTGGTAAAGGACCTTGCCCAGAGCCAGCTGTGGCAGTCAGGCTGAGTCTACGTCTGGGTCTAGTTCAGGACGCTTTCTGCCATACCAGGTGGTCAGCAACTTACTCGGATTTCATATTCTACCAGAAATGGCCACGCAGATCTATACTCAGCTTCGCTGGACCTCTCTCTCTCATACATGATAGGCCAACAGCAAAAATGAGCTGAACCTGACAAGATTTTGTGTAAGGATCATTGTAAATTCATGTATTTGGATCCAAAGGATCTTCAAGGCTTAGAGGTGTTCATGGGTAGTTCATGGTTAGCACCAGCATGAAGAGGGCAGAGCTGCCTACCTGGGCTAGTGTGATCAGAGCAGATGTGGAGGACACTGCTCATCTGGGGTCATGCTGTAGGAAGGTCTTTGGGAAGCTGGAGTACATCCAAAGGATGGGACTTACTGAGAAGACTTGAAACTGCCTCATTTGCAGAATGTGCATCTTGATAAATCAACTCATAGATAAGAACTCGAAGGCACGTTGATACTCATGTGGAGACGAGTGAGTGCAAAGGTCCCGAGCTGTCCCCCTGCTGCTTCCCGGAGATCACCTGTACTCTGGGAGAAGGGTGCACACAGAGAGCACGCCTCTCCTATGCATTTTACTTCCTAAAAACCAAGGGTTTGCAGTTGACCATGACGCATTTGTTCATTATTTTATATGTTGCCATTGTTTCTCTACTCCATATACTTACTGTGTGGTTTAATAAAATGCTGCTCTTGACTGCTCAGCCACTATGGAAAACAATATGGTATTTGCTTCAAAAATTAAAAAGAGGACAGCCATTTGACCCAGTGATCCCACTTCTCGGAATATATCCTAAGAAGCCTGAAACACCAATCAGAAAGAATATATGTACCTCTATGTCCATAGCAGCACTATTTACAATAGCTAAGATCTGGAAACTGCCCAAGTGGCCATCAGTAGATGAGTGGATAAAAAAGCTGTGATACATATACACAATGGAACGTTATGCAGCTGTAAGAGAGAGAGAGATCTCTTATCCTTTAAGACGACATGGAAGGACCTGGAGACTATTATGCTGAGTGAAATAAGCCAGTCAGAGAAAGACAAGTACCACATGATCTCACTTATTCATGGAACAACATGAACAAAATAAGCTGACAATCAAAATAGATCCAGAGACATGGAAGTAGGGAGCAGACTGACAGCCTCAGAGGGTGAGGGGTTGGGGGAGCAGGAAGATAGATAAATGGATGGATGGATGGATGGATGGATGGATGGATGGATGGATGGATGGATGGATGGTAGATAAAATGCTGCTCTTATAAATGGCATGCAGAAGATGGGGACATCTCACAAACAATGAGCAAGTTTATGGGAGCTTCTTGATAACATGAAGAGCCAAATCGGAAGATATTAAAATTCAAGAGAAGAGAAGCATTGAAGGAACTGTTACTTTTAGATTTGCTTTTCAACCATCGTGGTTTCTTGCATTTTCACTTGATTCTTGCCCCTCTCCTGTTTAACGAAAGACTTAGATCTGATTTATGGCTGTGATTTTCACGTTTTATTCTCTAAGAATATCGAGGCTCATAAAAAATATTTTAAAATTAGAATGTAACATACATTTTTTTCTCTCCTTCTAGGTGGATCTGGAGCCAGAAGGGAAAGTGTTTGTAGTAATAACCCTAACCGGGAGTTTCACTGAAGGTAAGAATGAATTTTGGATGATTTCTGGTATATGTATATCTTGGTCCATACTTAGTAGGAATTTCTATCTTGGAAATGATAAAAAGAGCATTTTGTAAAAAACACTTTGAAAAATTTATTGTTTTAAGTTAGGCTGGCTGGTACTTTGTTGTCTGATGGTCTACTGGCTTGGGTTGCCGGATTAAATATATTTGTTAAATATAACAAATCTGGCAATCACGTGTTTTATTTCGCACGCTGAGTTTTGTTTTTATTCATCACCTTAGCTGAATTGGTCCTTGCCTGTTTTAGTTCTAGAATATTCAGTTGTTCTTTAGAGTTTTGTTTCTGGGCCAACTCTTCAGTTTGCCCCTGAATGTGTTAGAAATTTAAGGATTGTGTTCTTTTCCTTATAATCTTACACCTCATTCTGTCCTTGAAGTGAATCTGTTTCTGTTTTATTGGTACCACCCCCAGTTCTCCCCCAATTTTTTTTAATTGAGGCAAAATTTATAGAGAGTTGACCCTTGACATGGGTGTTGGGGCACTGATGACTGCCACCCCCGCTGTGTACAAAAATTTGTGTATTTTGTTTCTATTGTACAGTGAAATGCCTGGTCAAGGGCATATACCTCAGCTGTGGTTCATCCCCAGCCCTGGTCAGGTTGTGTGGGAGGCTGTCAATCAATGTGCCCTGCTCTCGTCGATGTTTCTCTCTCTCTCTTCCCCCTCCTTCCCACTCTGTCTGATGATAAATAGAAAAATGTCCTCAGGTGAGGATTAAAAACAAAAACAAAAATCCACAAGGTATTATTTTATACTCACCAGAATGTCTAAAATTAAAGAGATTGACCATATCTAATGTGGGTGAGGACGTGGAGTAATTGGAACTCTCCTACATTGCTGATGGCAGTAGGACACAACCACTTTGGAAACTCATTTGAGAGTTTCTTATATAGTTACATATATATCTACTCTGTTACCCAACAATTTCACTGCTAGGTATTTGCCCTAGAGAGATGAAAGTGTATGTCCACAGAAATCCATGTACAGGAAAGAATGTTTATAGAAGCATTATACATAATACCCTAAACCAGGGAAAACTCAAATGTCCATCAAGAGGAGAATAGGCAAACAAATTGTTTTACATTTAAATAATGGCAGGAATACTCAGCAATAAAGAGAAATAGGATATTGATATACAAAATGATGTGAATGGATCTCATAGAAATTATGCTGAGGAGAAGAATCAGACACACAAGAGAATGTACTATGTAGTTTATGTACATGAACTTCCAGAATAGACACAACTAACCTATGGCAAAACAAAACAAAAGAAAACATTGTTTGTTGCCTCTGGCAGCAAAGGACTGACTGGGGAAGGGACACAAGGGAACTTTCAGAGTGATGGAAGTTTCATTTTGAAGCTGTTTGTTTCCATGCTATAGGAATGAAATTTTTCATATTGACTTTGTATTCTGCAACCTTAATAAATTCATCTATTAGTTTTGTTTTTGTTTTTTTTTAAGATCCCTTAGGATTTTCTCTGTAAATAATCATGTTGTCTGTAAATAAAGACAGTTTTCCTTTATTTTTTTTTTTTATATTTATGGCTTTTGTTTCCTTTTTGTTTCTTATTATGCTGGATCTCCTTGTCTCACAACCAGTCTCGGACAGAAGGAATTCATTCTCTCCCGATTAAGTGTGGTGTCAGCTGTATGCATTTTGTTTTTTTGTTTTTGTTTTTATTTTTATTTTTATTAATTTGTTTTTGTTACAGATGTTTCTCCTTTTCCCTCCATTGACACCCTCCTCCCCACCCCCCACACCCCATCCCCAGTTTTGTTCTCCATGTCCATTGGTTATGTATACATGCACATAAGTTCTGTGGTTTATCTTTCCCCCCAGTGCTCCTCTTCTGAGGTTTGTCAGTCTGTACCCCACCTCTGGGTCAATTTTGTTCATCAGTTTAGTTCATTATATTCCACAAATAAGTGAGATCATGTGACATTTGACTTTCTCTGCTTGGCTTGTTTTGCTTAGCATAATACTCTCCAGGTCTCTCCATGTCATCTCAAAGGATAAGAGATCTTTCTTTCTTACAGCTGCATAGTACTCCATTGTATACATGTACCACAGCTTTTTTATTCACATCTGTAACAAAAATAAATAAATAAATTTTAAAAAATGGGCAGAGGACCTAAATAGACACCTCAGCAAACAGGACATACAAATGGCCAAGAGATAAGAAAAAATGTTCAACGTCACTAATCATCAGAGAGATGCAAATTAAAAGAACTATGAGGTATCACCTCACACCTGTCAGAATGGCCGCCAAAAACAAATCATCAAACAAGTGTTGGTGAGGGTGTGGAGAAAAGGGGACTCTGGTCCACTGCTGGTGGGAATGCAGACTGGTGCAGTCACTATGGTCAATGCTCAATCACTGAGTCACAATGGCCAAGCAAAATCCTTGTGAAGATTTTTAAACATGTGACTTCATGGTTTGTCTTTTTGGTGTTGACGTTTTGCAATTGGTGACACCTTCTTTGAGAAATGGTTTTCTCTCTTCTCTGCCAACCGTTCTTATTCATGTAGGTGAATTGTTTTAATGGTAGTGGTTTTCTGTCTGTTTTTTTCATTGTTCCACATGATGTTATTGCTCTAATAATGAAATTAGCAGACACCTGGATACTTGAACATGAAAAAACTATCCAGGTTACAGTATGGGGATCTTCTGCCTGTTCAGAGGTCTTTTTGATTTGCTTGATGACTTGCACATAACAGGATTTATGAGAAAAATGAGTCTGCTCATAGTTCAGCTGAATAGCATGTAACATAGTATTACAGAACATGGGATGGAACATTCTCTCAGCACGTGGAACATGGTACAGTCATAGTATAGATAAACCCAGCAGTGAGAAGGGACAAGAGTGAGGAGGGGTGAGCTTCTAAGTGTGCGGAAGTATCTTTCTGTGTAAGTTACAAGGACCGACAGAGTTCAGACCATGCATGTTGCCGTAGTCATTACGTGACTTCTTTCCTTAGAGCTACCCCAGCTTTTTAGGACTAAGTTTCATTTAGGTTCTCTCTTCTTTAATTGTACACTAGAAGCATCAGACCACTGGCACTGGAATGCTTCTGGATGTTCTCATTGTATTAATTTATTAGTTTTTGTGATCAGAATGTCAAATCTTACTAGGGGTGAGTATTTACCAGGTCATTGAAATTGTATTTCTTTCAGAGATGACCCTGGATAAAATTGTGAGGCAGGCAGAGTTCATCTTTGGTAATTCCCTTTTCTGTTTAACTCATTTTTTTCTGCTCTCTGCCTTCAACTGTCTCTTACTTCATTAAGTTGCTCAGTGATCTCCTCTCCCCCGGAACAGTTGCGAATAAGGAAGATAGTGAATTCATGGACCAGTTCACGCTAAAGTGATAGCGTTTGATATCTTAGTACTCTACCCTTTTTAGGTGTGTCTGCAGATTTTAAAAGAGCTGTGTTATCCATGCAAAATGGATTTTTAACATTGAAATTTCAGGAGCTATAAATCTATGTGTAGGATATAGTCTAGACCCTCATATCTGTTCTCTCAGTGGGAGCTTTGTCTTGTCACTTTGGCTACTGGGCTGGGGTTTCCGCTTGAGCTTGCACATTGCTGCTGCCTTAGGGCACAGCTTTGCTGTCAAATACAGACAACGTGATGGCTGCCTCTGCGTGTGTTAGAGGAGGAGGGAAGGCAGTACCGCCAACACGCCTAGCGCAGCCGCAGCCTGGGCCTGCCGCTGTGGGAATGTCCCTGGCTTGGTTTCACTCTGTCAGCCACTCTAGATTAGCCCCAGCCATAAAGGGACAGGTTGGCCGGTAGAACTTTGGGAGCTTTGGTCCCCATTTTGGAAGCTGAAGTGCTCTACATAAAGAAGCAGTATGAAGTCAGGTCTGCCTGGTGTGTCTCGGGCTACAAAAGGGATATTAGTCTGGGATCCCAGAGGGATTGTCAAGGCTCAGGAAATGTTGGTTGAGCCTCAGGGTGCATCTCATCTGTCTTACAGGACTGTTTAGAAGGTCAGATGATATAATGCATAGAAAAATACTTTGCAAACTGCAGAGTGCACTGTGAAGGTGCATTCTCCCTACCCCAGCCTGGGATCCCATATATATTGAGCAAGTTTTAATTTTTAATTTTTGGCACCAGCTTTATTTTGTATTAGACACCTCAAGAATTCTAGTATGATGGGCGATTACTAGTATGATGTGGGCCCATCTCCATGCCTGTTTTCCCTTTATGGCCTCCTAAAGGAGTTCTGCCATCACTGAGGTTCTGCAGTCCCCAAGCTCTCCTTCAACACAGTCGCTTAAGTGGGACTGTGGTCTGTCATATTCAGGACTGATTTTAGGAGCTACTGATGCCTACTTATTTTATCCTGTCTCATAGTCTTATCTTTTATTAATTATGCTGAAACAGCAGCAAAGGCAAAAGTTTTTCTTAAACATAAGACATGAGTGAGAAATGACATAAGAAATGCCTGCTGGGTGCAGACCTTTGAGTCATAGATGCTGGGAGATAAAGATGAACAGACAGACGCTTTCCCGAAGGAGCTTGTGGAAGGGAGCGGCGTGTGGTGCAGAGGCCATGTCCCCGTGGGGAGTAAGTCCAAGACCCCGTGTTGGCCCACAGGGATGTGTGATCAGATCAGCCAGAAGGTTTGAGAGAAAGCTTGGTGGGGTGGGTGGGGTGGGGTCGTTTAAAGTGAGCTTGATGATAAATAGAAATGTGCCCGGAGGGAAAGAGGGTTCAGTTCAGGAGGGGAAGGCAGTTAGTACAAAGTCTCAGAGCTGAGAGAGCAGTGACAGGTTCCAGAAAGTGAAAGTAGTGGGGAGGTGACGAAGCTGGGGAGTGGGGAGCAGATGTGGTGAGGGACATGGGGGAGGGTCTCGTGTGAAGGTTTGCCCAGGAGGGTCTATCTGCTGACCAGGGTAATGGTTAACATTTACTCTCAGAAGGGTCCCAGGTTAGATG